GAGGTGGGGCTTGAATGGAAGAGGTGGGGCTGGGTGGGCAGGGGCTGCACCTAACTCTCATAGCAGTCATTTTAGACCTCCATACATCCTCCTGTGCACCGTCTTAGAAAATTTGGGGATGTTTCCAGTTTGGGGCGGAGCCATCTCTCCCTCTCGTGTCACCAGGTATGTAACTGTAATAATGAGCCGAGCTGAATACAATGTAACAAAGAAACATCCGTGTATGAAAGTCCCGCGAGTGTGAAAATAACCATAAATAATTCTCAATATAAATTCCCAAACGGTGAGGCCCCGTTCCCACTGCGCGATATGCATATTGCGCGACATCGCGTTCAAGCTTGCATTGAGCCATCTTGAATCGCGGCTAAATCCGCTCCAAAAAGGGTCCTGCTGTAGCGACACACGACCCGCGACAGCAGGACCCTTTGCCCCATTGGATTGCATTGGAGCGCGATATCGCGGGAATTACCGCGCGATAAATCGCTCAATGTGAACGGGGTCTGAAGGTGGAAATGATAATAATAATGGCGATCTTCTAGCCCAAAGTTCTTGCGATACCGCACACCAAATAAGTGCTCCGACCCACGAGTGATAGGTAGTGACGTACAGGTGGGTGCTCACCTGAGCCGATGACCACCAAAAGGTCATAAAACGCAGTTTTTGTCGACACCCCTGATGAAGGCATGTGAGACGCAACCCCCCCCCCGCGGTTGTTCTTCTTTGTGTGCAATAAAGTTTCTGATTCTCTCGGGGAAGATGGTCGTGCGATGTGACTCTGAATCTTCTCTGACGTTCCTCCGCTTTTGTCTTGCAGGACGAGCTGTCGCAGCGGTTGGCGCGTCTGCGCGATCAGGTGTAGGCGGAGCCTCTTCCCGTCGGTGCATTTTGCTGTATATAGATGTGTGTGTGGTGCTCACCGAACGTGTTTTCTCTCTACGTTTCCATATAAAAATAATTCACACACGACGCTTCTTTACTGACGCCTTTCACCAGAGACCCCCGACAGAGCCCGGGGACCTCCCCATACATCTGCCATAGAGATGAAGAGGCAGAAAGGACCCCCCCGGGGGCCCCATTCACCAGCCCACCTTTCAGCCTGTGAATTCATTATCTGTCTAGACCTTCATGGGAAGTCTGTTGATTCTGGATTGGACGGATATGCACATAGTCCCGCCCCTGAGGTCTCCTAGGTCAGTGATGATGATTATGTTGCTGCTGTCTGTTCCTGGATTGGACAGTTATGCACATAGTCCCGCCCCTGAGGTCTCCTAGGTCAGTGATGATGATTATGTTGCTGCTGTCTGTTCCTGGATTGGACAGTTATGCACATAGTCCCGCCCCTGAGGTCTCCTAGGTCAGTGATGATGATGCTGTCTGTTCCTGCTCCTGGATTGGACAGTTAGCCCCTGAGGTCTCCTCGCTCAATGATGATACCACCCATTCTCTTCCCTGGATTGGTGTGGCTGTGTGCATGGTCCCGCCCCTGAGGTCTCCCTGGTCAGTGATGATGCCGCCTGTTCGCTCACGCTCAGTCGGGGGTCCTCGCTGCGGTCATCGCGTTCTGATGGTTTCGTTGGTATTTAGAGTGCAGCTAAAATAAACACTAAGAAGAAAGTCCTGTGACCGTCTCTCAGGGGCCCCAACAGGACCGAATTGTGACAAATACCAACAAATTCCCTCCAGATTTATCCCCCAAAAAAATCAAAAAAGTGCGAAAAACGTGAAAGTCGGGCGCGGCGATGTCACCGAATTCTCCCGGAACCTCCATTCAGAGATCAGCAGACTTCCTCCCTGAGATTCCGGACGCATGGGGTGATGAAGCTTCTGCGTGTTTCCTGCTGACGTCATTCGGACGTCCCCTCTGATCTGTTCTCAGTGTGTCATCCTCATCCTCCTCCTCCTCTCCGCCTGTGTATATTAGGATTGTATTTAACTCTCGGGACTTTTGCTGAGATCGGATAATTGGCGACTTTCATGCTCCAGGCGTCTGATCTTCCATCCTGTATATGACCATCCGGCCTCCAGTCCGCGTCCTTCCCGCTCATCTGTAACCTTCTCCGCGTGGCTTTTAATAAACTTTATTTTGTTTTCTGTATCAATTTTTTGGTGTCGCTCTGTCCCCCCCCTGTGTCCCCCTCCCTGTATGGCCGGGTCCCCCTCCCTGTGTGGCCGAGTCCCCCTCCCTGTGTGGCCGGGTCCCCCTCCCTGTGTCCCGCTCCCCGTGTGGCCGGGTCCCCCTCCCTGTGTCCCGCTCCCCGTGTGGCCGGGTCCCCCTCCCTGTGTCCCGCTCCCCGTGTGGCCGGGTCCCCCTCCCTGTGTCCCGCTCCCCGTGTGGCCGGGTCCCCCTCCCTGTGTCCCGCTCCCCGTGTGGCCGGGTCCCCCTCCCTGTGTCCCGCTCCCCGTGTGGCCGGGTCCCCCTCCCTGTGTCCCGCTCCCCGTGTGGCCGGGTCCCCCTCCCTGTGTCCCGCTCCCCGTGTGGCCGGGTCCCCCTCCCTGTGTCCCGCTCCCCGTGTGGCCGGGTCCCCCTCCCTGTGTCCCGCTCCCCGTGTGGCCGGGTCCCCCTCCCTGTGTCCCGCTCCCCGTGTGGCCGGGTCCCCCTCCCTGTGTCCCGCTCCCCGTGTGGCCGGGTCCCCCTCCCTGTGTCCCGCTCCCCGTGTGGCCGGGTCCCCCTCCCTGTGTCCCGCTCCCCGTGTGGCCGGGTCCCCCTCCCTGTGTCCCGCTCCCCGTGTGGCCGGGTCCCCCTCCCTGTGTCCCGCTCCCCGTGTGGCCGGGTCCCCCTCCCTGTGTCCCGCTCCCCGTGTGGCCGGGTCCCCCTCCCTGTGTCCCGCTCCCCGTGTGGCCGGGTCCCCCTCCCTGTGTCCCGCTCCCCGTGTGGCCGGGTCCCCCTCCCTGTGTCCCGCTCCCCGTGTGGCCGGGTCCCCCTCCCTGTGTCCCGCTCCCCGTGTGGCCGGGTCCCCCTCCCTGTGTCCCGCTCCCCGTGTGGCCGGGTCCCCCTCCCTGTGTCCCGCTCCCCGTGTGGCCGGGTCCCCCTCCCTGTGTCCCGCTCCCCGTGTGGCCGGGTCCCCCTCCCTGTGTCCCGCTCCCCGTGTGGCCGGGTCCCCCTCCCTGTGTCCCGCTCCCCGTGTGGCCGGGTCCCCCTCCCTGTGTCCCGCTCCCCGTGTGGCCGGGTCCCCCTCCCTGTGTCCCGCTCCCCGTGTGGCCGGGTCCCCCTCCCTGTGTCCCGCTCCCCGTGTGGCCGGGTCCCCCTCCCTGTGTCCCGCTCCCCGTGTGGCCGGGTCCCCCTCCCTGTGTCCCGCTCCCCGTGTGGCCGGGTCCCCCTCCCTGTGTCCCGCTCCCCGTGTGGCCGGGTCCCCCTCCCTGTGTCCCGCTCCCCGTGTGGCCGGGTCCCCCTCCCTGTGTCCCGCTCCCCGTGTGGCCGGGTCCCCCTCCCTGTGTCCCGCTCCCCGTGTGGCCGGGTCCCCCTCCCTGTGTCCCGCTCCCCGTGTGGCCGGGTCCCCCTCCCTGTGTCCCGCTCCCCGTGTGGCCGGGTCCCCCTCCCTGTGTCCCGCTCCCCGTGTGGCCGGGTCCCCCTCCCTGTGTCCCGCTCCCCGTGTGGCCGGGTCCCCCTCCCTGTGTCCCGCTCCCCGTGTGGCCGGGTCCCCCTCCCTGTGTCCCGCTCCCCGTGTGGCCGGGTCCCCCTCCCTGTGTCCCGCTCCCCGTGTGGCCGGGTCCCCCTCCCTGTGTCCCGCTCCCCGTGTGGCCGGGTCCCCCTCCCTGTGTCCCGCTCCCCGTGTGGCCGGGTCCCCCTCCCTGTGTCCCGCTCCCCGTGTGGCCGGGTCCCCCTCCCTGTGTCCCGCTCCCCGTGTGGCCGGGTCCCCCTCCCTGTGTCCCGCTCCCCGTGTGGCCGGGTCCCCCTCCCTGTGTCCCGCTCCCCGTGTGGCCGGGTCCCCCTCCCTGTGTCCCGCTCCCCGTGTGGCCGGGTCCCCCTCCCTGTGTCCCGCTCCCCGTGTGGCCGGGTCCCCCTCCCTGTGTCCCGCTCCCCGTGTGGCCGGGTCCCCCTCCCTGTGTCCCGCTCCCCGTGTGGCCGGGTCCCCCTCCCTGTGTCCCGCTCCCCGTGTGGCCGGGTCCCCCTCCCTGTGTCCCGCTCCCCGTGTGGCCGGGTCCCCCTCCCTGTGTCCCGCTCCCCGTGTGGCCGGGTCCCCCTCCCTGTGTCCCGCTCCCCGTGTGGCCGGGTCCCCCTCCCTGTGTCCCGCTCCCCGTGTGGCCGGGTCCCCCTCCCTGTGTCCCGCTCCCCGTGTGGCCGGGTCCCCCTCCCCGTGTCGCCCTGTCCCCCTCCCTGTGTCCCCTATCAGATAATCTTCTATATATAGACCAGGGACCACAGACTGAGGATTGGGAGTCGCTCTGTTTTGTGTTCGGTTGGTGTTGGTCCTTCCAATCGGATACACAAAATAACATTAAGTCCGGGGAATGCGCCAATCATAGACGGAGGGGGACGTTTTCTGAGGGCAATGATAGATTTGGGGTAACGCTGGACCTGTAGGAATGAGAATTGGTTCTGGGGGGGGGGGGGATAACCCCAGGATGAGGAAC